TATATATATATATATATATATATATGTATATATATATATGTAATTATTATTACTACTATTGTCTTAAATAAAATTTAAAGGCATTACAAGATTATTCGTTGATACATTTTATTTTAAAGTTATTAGTGAATATATGTATATTTACTCTAACAGCACATGATATCCTGCGAATATCCCATTTTCATACTGATTGTACTATGATCATCCGTAACGTACTGATATCATCATAATAATATCTCGTACAGTATTATTGTTTTTTTTTCACGTGCATATAATCTCAGAATAAACTTAAGGTACGAAAGTGATACATACACATTTCTATCGCGTGCCTATAATCTCAGAATTAACTCAAGATACGAAAGTGATACGTACGCATTTCTATCGCGAGCGTATAATCTCAGGTTCTACTCAAATCTACGGAAACGTGTACGCTTTTCTAACCTCTGTACGCGCGTTTTAAGAAGAATAGAAAAGTCAAAATAATGTTAACTTGACGTCATATTGACCGAATTTATGTCATTTTTATGTCATGATTAAAATGTTTATCTTAAATGACTTTACATTAATTGACTCTTTTTTGTATCAAACTTTGTGATTTTTCAAAAGTACTGTGAAGAGCTGTATATATATACGACAAATGTACATTATTTCTTGTTTAATACTCATAATTATATGATTAATTTTATATGTTTAAATAATAACAGAAATATTATTCAGTAAAACTGTAACGTTATATTTCTTTATACTTTATAATGCGAACTTAATATTTTTTTATATTTATAAATGAAATATATTTTAACTGTAGGTATTCTATCTCTTTAACATCATCTATTCAATAGATGTATCACTGGTACGTATCCATTAACAATTAGTGTTCACGGATCATCACGAAGCATCAGTTCCCAGACGTTCACAAAGGTTAAGCAACGCTATCCAGATAACAAAATGCTTGCATAGTGACTGCACGGTGCGCGCACACGTGCGCAATAAGCGTTACAGTGTGACTGCACAGCACCATGCAGATGCGTCCTCATTTGAGTCTCATATCGCACGCACGCGTGAGTGTCGCATGCGTGCGTGCGATATGAGCTTAAATGTGCGGACGACATGAAGCTCGTGTGAGTGCTCCAATAGAGATTTATACCGCTTGCACATTTACTTAATTAATTATATATATATATATATATATATATATGTATATATATATATATATACACAAAACAAAGTTTCTTTTTTCAAATTTAACTTTAATTATTATAATTTTTAACTTTTTATTATAATTAATTTATATGTAACTTTAATTTTAACTGTAATTTATAAATAATCAATAACATAAAATTAAGTATATAAAAAAATTAAATATGAAAATAGAAACTTTTTTAAGAAGGTGAATAAGAAACATTATTTATATACACTCGACAGCAAAATTAAAGCATCACCCATTCTGATCACTAAAAATAGGCAAATTTCAAGAGAGTGTAATTTCATAAAAAATGATCGTATCGGAATGATCAAAAAAGCATTTAAAGCTTAAAGTCTCTACTTTCGACACCCATAATTCATTAAATTACCTGTCTCTTATACACATCTCT